GAGATTGAGAATCAAAGAATGACACACATTGCGGTTGAACGAAACCGAAGACGCCAAATGAATGTCCATCTCAACTCACTACGCTCTCTCATTCCACCTTCATACATCCAAAGGGTATAGAGTCACACTCTCACTCACACATTAAAGTTTCAACCTTTTATTACTAAATTAAGTTGTAATTTCTCATATAGGGAGACCAAGCATCAATAGTAGGAGGAGCAATAGACTTTGTGAAGATCCTCGAGCAACACTTGCAATCACTTGAAGCTCAAAAGATAACTCAACAAAGCGACAATAATAATAATCTCAGAGACATTTCGTCGAACGAGTTGCGTGCAATTGAAGAAGAAGAAACTAGCGCAGTCAAAATCGATGCAACAGTGATAGAGAGTCACGTCAATCTCAAAATCGAATGTCAGAGGAAACAAGGACAGCTTCTAAGATCAATCAATTTACTCGAGAAGCTTCGATTCACTGTTCTCCATCTCAACATTACATCTCCGTCAAATACATTAGTCTCTTATTCCTTCAACCTCAAGGTACACTGATTTAACAAAAAACCCATCTTTCGAAATCGACGACTTTGATGTTAAAAATTGAATCTTTTTTTATGTTTCTTTGATTGTCAGATGGAAGACGACTGCGATTTAGGATCGGCCGATGAAATAACGACGGTCGTTCGTCAGATTTTTGATTAAACAAGAAAAAGTAACGTTTTTTAATGTAATTTTCGTCTTCTCAAGAATGCGAAATTAAAATTGTTATCAATTTTTTTTTTTTGTGTGGGTTTTGTTGGTATGTAATTGGAGTCTTCTAGGCATGGAACTTGACTTCGTTGAAGGGTATTCTACAGAAATTTGGGTCCCAATTCGATAGATGTATATGAAGTTTGACCTTTTGTGTCTTTATTATATTCATCATGATCATCAATTGTATTTTTGCTTTTGCCTCTCTTTCGGGGTTGACTTTTGTTGGGATAAATATCTTAATCTTACAACATGGGTTTGAATGTAACGGATCGGTTCAAAGATTAAAAGCCCATAATGTCTTTGTGTAAAAATACAAACAAAGCCCGTTTCATGTTTTCTAAATACAGTTGTTACTAAACCAAATGATT